AGTTCTCTCCGTCCATTTTAAAATCTGAGGGAGTTCCTGTCTATCGTTGTGTCCAGCACTCTGGGGAGTTTGTTCTTACCTTCCCTCGAGCATATCATTCAGGATTTAATTGTGGATTTAATTGCGCTGAGGCAGTAAATGTAGCGCCTGTTGATTGGTTACCTCATGGGCAAAATGCTGTGGAGCTGTATTGTGAACAGGGGCGAAAAACATCCATTTCCCATGATAAGCTGTTGCTTGGGGCTGCAAGGGAAGCTGTCAGGGCACAGTGGGAACTTTCATTACTGAGGAAAAACACCATAGATAACTTAAGATGGAAAGATGCATGTGGAAAAGATGGGATCTTAACAAAAGTTCTCAAGGTAAGCTCTGCTGCAATAGTTAATGTGCATGTCTCAACTTGTAATTTTTTATCAAAGTTATTGTTTCTAACCACTTAAGTTTCTGATTTGCATAGACACGCATTGAGATGGAGAATGTTAGGAGGGAATATCTTTGCACACCACAATCAAGGAAGATGGACATAAGCTTTGATGCGACAAGTGAGAGAGAATGCAGTGTATGTCTATATGATTTGCATCTTTCAGCTGCTGGTTGTGAATGTTCTCCTGACAAATATGCATGCCTTAGTCATGCAAAGCGGCTTTGTTCATGTCCTTGGAGTGCTAAGTTTTTTCTCTTCAGATATGAAATCAGTGAACTAAATCTCCTTGTTGAAGCTCTGGAAGGGAAACTAAGTGCAATATACAGATGGGCAAAAGTAGATCTTGGACTCAATTTGAGTTCTCATGTCTCCAGAGATAAAGTGCAAGTACCTGGGCTTGTCAGTAGTTCATCCCATTTGTTGGAAGGAACCTCACAAAAAGAGCAGGCATCACAGGATTCTTTAACTTTTACCAGTACTGCTGCTGGTTCTACTCCTAGATTACAGCCAGTAATTAAACCCCCTTTGTCCCAAGTGACATCTTTGAAAGACCTGAAAGCGGCAATCAGGGTCAAAGCATCTGGTCTTGTAGCTAGTATTTATCCACAGCAGAAAGAGAAACCATGTGAATCTGTGTCAATTGTTAAGAACAATATTGAGTCATGTGTACCAGATAAACCTGAACATGATAAAGAATCAGCATGTCATAGCTTGATCGCATCAGCTTCCAATGCAAGTAGTTCAGTTTGTCAACTCTCTCGGGAAGACTTGTCATACACTGAGCTTCCTCAAGGTTTTTCTAGTCAAAAGAACACTTCTGGTTGTGCTGACTTAGGTCTGATAGGGAAGCCTTCAAGCGACTTAGCTGTGGTAGAACCTAAAGTGAACAACATAACAAAGTCTGGGGATGGTAACATTATACTTCTTAGTGATGATGAGGATGAAGAGCTACATGGGCAATTATCACATACGACACTGGGTTCTTCAAAGGACCAGGAAGTTTCTAAGAGACTATCAAACTGTGATGACAAAGTGAGTGCATGTGATTACCCAAAAGATCAAGTCTTACAAACACCAGAAACTAATGCATCAGTAATGAATGAAGATGATATTAGTTTGTTAGCAGATGTTGGAAAGGAGGATGACTCTTCTTGTCAATTGCATGTAAAAGTTGAAGACTCTGAAAAAGCTAAAACATGCATGGCATACAACTTCATGATGCAGAAGGATACTTCAACAGGATCCTTCCATCAGAACCTAACTTGCAATGTAGGTTCTCCAACTGCAGATTCTGAAAAAAATATTCAGGGACTCTCTTCTACTCAAGCCACTGGCAAATGTAATATGGCTAATGTAGAGAGCTGCTTTCCACCATATGACAGTGGAACGTCAGCCAAGGATAAAGATGAAAAGATGGGGATACATGTCAAACCAAATGTGGAAAGAATGCCACCAGTTATGGGAACTCTGTCTTCTGGCCCAAATAATCTGGATAGGTATTTCCGTCAAAAGGGTCCTCGCATTGCAAAGGTAGTAAGAAGGATTAGCTGTAATGTTGAACCTCTGGATTTTGGTGTTGTGATTTCTGGAAGTTTGTGGTGTAATAGTCAGGCCATATTCCCAAAAGGTATGCTGTGTTCTGTGTTCTCCATGGTTCACCTCGCCTCCCTTTCCTTTCAAGTAAAAAACAGTTATAGTATGCACTTCTTCCTTATTGCAGGGTTTAGGAGTCGAGTTACATACCTAAGCGTTCTAGATCCAACAAAAATGAGCTACTATGTTTCAGAAATCCTGGATGCAGGATGGATTGGGCCCCTATTTATGGTAATTAAAGTGTTCCTTTCATTTTTGAGTTTCCATTATATACTTGATTCAATAATTTTTTGACATGGAAGTTTGATTTTTCATTTTTCTGTTGTAATATGTGCAGTCAATTTGTTTATTTTCTATTGGTGCTTAATATTTTCAATACTTTGAGGAAAGATTATTTTAGCTTCATAGAAGAGTGAGATCTCAAGCCTTTATTATAGCCCAGAAATAGTTTCTGATGTGATTGTTAAGTTGGGAGTGACGAGTATAAAAGTTACATTGACTAACACAGAATATTAGGGTTGGACTTGGATTTGAATAACATAAGTAGAAGTTATGTAGTATTATCATTTGATGACCGAGGTATAGTCACCATATTTGAGGTGGCACCTAGGTGACAAGGCACCCTTGGAGGAATCTGTTTGTGGGAAATGATAGATCTCCTACCACTCCCATGGAATCTTGTACTATGTGCATTTTTTATTACAAATAATACAATTTTGAGTCACTTATCATAAAAAGAGAAAAAAAAAAAGAAAAACCAAGGTGGTTATGACCAATGCCAGCAGAGACAAATGATGATTTAATTGCTATAAATTGGATGCTTTGAAAGGACAAGGAGAAGGCCAAAGGGAATGTGGTTTCAGATACTGAGAAAATATTTAAAGACTTGTCTATAGGTAGGGTAGAATGGTGGTAATAATATTGCTGATGATTATGGCACTTTGCATTCATTTTTCTACTTATCATTTGAAGGGCCTCTACTTTTTCTTGTTTTTGGATGTGTTATGGGTTTTGGAACTGGAGCATGATTGCACAAGAGGGTCATTTGTTCTGAAGTGTTTGGAACTTTGGCGTCTACAATAACATCTAGGCCAACCATGTGCCAAGATCCACCAGACTTAGCAGAAGGCTTGTCTCCCTCTTTGCCGGGGGGGGGGGATGTGCCAGGTGTTATCATGTATCTTGTGTATATGTAATTATCTGGTTAACCTCTTCTTAAATTTCTCTCTCTCTCTCTGTCTCTCACTGTGTGTGTGTAATTATCCTGTTGTGTGTGGATTCCTATAAAAATGCATCTGTGCTTTCCATTTTCCTTATTGCAATAAAGTCCTAATTTTTGATTAAAAGAACAGTGCTTGCAGAACATAAAAGATAAGATGCATGCTTTTAGTAAAGCTTTGAGCTTGTTATTAGGCATTTTTGTACTTGAAACTTGAAAGTTAAAATCACTAGGTTGAAACGTCACATGATAACTCAAGACTAGCACTTGGACTCCAATAAGGTGTATTACCCCAGAATAATTTAGTTTCAACTCTCTGTTCAGTTTATTATTCCCCTGGCTTCTGAAAAACCTATTGGGGACAATTTGGTTTGGATGTAGTAAAAAAGTGCCAGCAGAGACAAATGATGATTTAATTGTTATAAATTGGATGCTTTGAAAGGATAAGGAGAAGGCCAAAGGGAATGTGGTTTCAGATACTTTGAAAATATTTAAAGACTTGTATCTTAGTAGACTTGTCTATAGGTAGGGTAGAATGGTTTAGCAGGAATTGGTGGACTTTTCAGAATAAGAGATGGTACAGTTATTTGGGCTTTCAGTGGACCAATAGGGATAGCCTCTTCAACAAAGGCTGAAATTATGGCAGCTCTAACTGGAATCAGGATAGCAAGAGATCTGGGTTTTCAGAACATCACCATAAAAGGAGATTCAGCAAATACAATCAGGTGGCTAGCTGACCATGGCAGTGGGCCATGGGCTTTAGCACATTTCTTGACTGAAGCAAGGGATATCCTTCTCAACCTAAATGCTCAGCTGGGGTGGATCCCCAGGGAGCTAAACACTGAAGCGGATGGCCTAGCAAAAGCTGGTGTTCACAGGGATGTCTTATTTAGTGATAGTTCCCTCCCTACTTAACTTCTGAGTTGTAATTTCTGTGTACATCTCCTATGTACATTTTTTCTTCAAGGAGAATGTTTTGGGCTTGATTGTAAGACTTATATTCTGATTTTCCACCCATCCTTTGGGTGGTGTTATCTGTATTCTCCTTTTTTATCTTTAATGAAAGTTACTGTTTCTTATTAAAAATTGGGGAAATGTTTGGTGGTGGTGGTAATATTGTTGATGATTATGGCACTTTGCAGTCATTTTTCTACTTATCATTTGGAGGGCCTCTACTTTTTATTGTTTTTGGATGTTTTATGGGTTTTGGAACTGGAGCATGATTGCACGAAAGGGTCATTTGTGCTGAAATGTTTGGAACTTTGGCATCTACAATAACATCTATCTCAACCATGTGCCAAGATCCATCAAACTTAGCAGAAGGCTTGTTTCCCTCTTTGCCCCGGGGGGGGGGGGTTGTGCTAGGTGTTATCATGTATCTTGTGTATATGTAATTATTCGGTTAACCTCTTCTTAAATTTCTCTCTCTCTCTCTCTCTCTCTGTATGTGTAATTATCCTGTTGTGTGGATTCCTATAAAAATGTATCTGTACTTTCCATTTTCCTTATTGCAAAATGGTCCTAATTTTTGATTAAAAAAAGAGTGGTGCTTGCAGAACATAAAAGATAAGATGCCACATGCTTTTAGTAAAGCTTTGAGCTTGTTATTAGGCATTTTTGTACTTGAAAGTTAAAATCACTAGGCTGAAACTTCACATGATAACTCAAGACTAGCACTTGGACTCCAATAAGGTGTATTACCCTAGAATAATTTAGTTTCAACTCTCTGTTCAGTTTATTCTCCTGGCTTCTGAAAACCCTATTGGGGACAATTTGGTTTGGATGTAGTAAAAAAGTGGGGTGGTTGCTGTGAGTGAACAAATCAGGTATGCTGAGATGGAGGAGCGATGGAGGAAATCAGTATGGGTCGAGGGAATGATGTACATGTTCGAGGAGGTTTTATTTGGAGGGAGAGAATCCCAAAAAGTTAGAGAAGGAAAGAGATCAAATTTGTTCCTAGTTGATGAAGCAGTAGTTTGGTTAAAAGGTTTTGTTGACGGAGCAGTATTTTTGGTGAAAACAGAAGGTTGAGGGTAGAAATAGAGTGGTTTTATCAGATTGAGCAAAGGAAAAACATGAAAGGGTGGCTTTTGATGCTGTCAGAATTTTATGGACATGGTCGAAGACAGATTACATGTTTCCCTGAGGGTAGAAATAGTGTTGGGTGGAAAATCATAACAGAGCTATTACAGGAATTTCTCACTAGGAAAGAGAAGGGGTTGGAGATTATACGAACAGAGCTGGATATTGGCGGTAGTGAGGAGGTAGCTAGGGTATTTGATGGAGAATCCCGAAACAGCAAGAGAGGAAATGAAAATTCCATTGCTCTGCTCTGCATTGGTTCCCAAGATGATTGTGGATGGGGGGAAGGAGGGGTGGAAGAAAAAATTAGTGGTTTCAACAAGGGAAGAGGTTAAGGAATGATGAAAAATATTGGATACACTAGCCAGTGAAGGAATTGTTATGGTGGAAGGTTGGTCTCTGTTCTGCAATTCAAAAAAATCCGTGGAGGGAACTGTGTTGTTAAAGATTCTGGGACTTCCGTTCAATCTTTGGATTGTACCAGTTCTGGACAAGATTGCAACTGCTTGTGGGGGAATCTTGTGGCTGTGAATGAGATGGACCTACATGCAGCAAGAATCAAAATTTCAGGATCAAATCCAGACAAAATTCCTCATTCAATCAACTTGTTGCTTGAAGGTTTTTGGAGGAAAGTATGGGTAGCAACAGAAGCTGAAGCAACACTTGGGTGCTACGTGAAAAAGCAGGAAGATGATGATGGGGCATGGAGGACAACGCATGGAGGTGGGGGATTGGGAAAGAAGGATGAGGTGGAATTAAAAAATAATTTAAAAAATAACTTGGAAAGAGAAGGTTTCATGAAAAACAAGGGTGATCTTGGGTTAAAAACCCAAGATTTTATTTACTGGTGCAAGGACTGGAGTTTTATGTGCTGGAGCATGCATACAAGGTTCAAGAGCAGAATGAGAAGTCTAAGAGATGGGGAGAGGAGATGGAGTTGGGTCGGTTTGGTGTTTCCAACCGGACTATCAACGCAGTTCAGGTATCTTCACATGACAGCTTAAATGATCACATGGGAGGAGGTCCAACTGTGTTAGTTGGGATTACTATGATGGAGACCATAGAGAGTGGGCTGGACAAAGCTGGGTTAAATAAGGAGCCCATAGAGGGTAGGCTGAATATAGAGGAGGTGCATGGGACTCTAAGTGATCCAGTGGGCATTTTAGGAAGGGGTATGATGGACGTTTCTTCTGGTCCATTGTCTTCTTCTTCGACTAGACAATGAAAGCATGGACAGGAGAATAAGGGGAATTCTGCAATTAGGTCAGTTGAAACTCAGGGGTTTGATGTTGATAGGAACGAGGGAACTACAGCAGAGATTTTGGATGAAACACAGGTTTCTCTCGGTGATAATGGAGGCCAACAGGATGGTGAAGATGGCAGAAGAGAATTTTGTTTAACCGTTTCTTGTGAGGAGGAGAATGATATGGCTACGTTGAAAGGAAAGGAAAAGGAAAGGGTGGAGAAGATATTAAGGAAGAAAGTAAGCATTGAGAACAGGTCGGGGAAGAAGCAGAAAAAGGATTCAATTATTGGATTGGAAGGAAGGGCTGAATTAGAAAGGTGCGAGGCTGAAGGAATGAAGGTTGATAAAAAAAAGGGCCTATAGAACTAAACCTTGTGAGGGAGATTTGGAAGATGAAAACGAAGAGGAGATTATGTTGGATGAAGTCCACGAAATTGAGAAGAAAACTGATCTAGGAACAGTTCTCGACATTGAGGTGGGGGTGGCTAAAAAATTGGGTCTGTTCTTGGGAGGAGAGGATTTTGCAAGAAAAAGTCTTTGAGGAAATAGAAGAAATTCATATGGGTCTTCAAAAGAATGTTGAGGACAGTGAAACCACTAAGAATAGGTCTAAGACTACAGAGGAAGAGGGGGCATGATTCTAACAGCAGAGCAAATGTTTGAGCAGAACGCAGTTCTAGAGCTTGAAAGAATTAATGATAAGCTGGAGAAAAGCGAGAGTGCTAAGGATATGCCCAATGCAGTTAAAAGGTTTAAACAACATAAAAATTATCGAGTTTTCCCAGTTTCAAGGGCTTTTGCAAAGTTAAAGGGAGGTCTATTTGGAGTGGGAATTAACAAGAGGACTATGAAGACAAAAATAGCTTTGAAGAGAAGAAAAGAGGTTGTTTCAACTGAAGGTCTGATGTGATTTTGTTTTTGCTCAGTAGGGGATGGGGAGTTTTGGGTCTGTTTAAATGGTCGGGTTTTTTGAGAGTGGTTCAAGAAGAGGTCAGGCATGGGCAAATCTGGGCTTCAGTGGGTGGTTCGAGAGCTTTGTCTAGGTTGTTTTTTGTTTTAAGTTGTGGAATGTTGGGAGCAGGGTTTTTGTTCTTTTTGGGGGATGATGCCTTATCACCCTTTGTAATCTCCTTTCTTGTCTCTTTCTAATAATTTTTTTTCTTTATTTTCCTTCAAAATAAAGGTGTATCAGTTGTTTTCATGGTGTGGTGTTGTTGGCAAATTTTGTCAGGAGATGAAGGTATTGGTGGGTAATTGCAATGGTTCTCTTCCAAGCACTGGTTCAAATTTACCTCTGTCAGTGTATTTTCGATGATTTCCTTACTCAGGCATTGGTAAATAGAGAACGGATTCTGGTTTGTCTATTGCATCAGCACTAGGAAGCTGTATTTGTTTTGTAAATGCTCAATTACCTACGAGGGTTGTCTCTAAAGTTTCTGGTTGGACCCTTTGGAACTAGATTTTTTGAGTTCCTCCTTTGCGGGTGAATTGGTTTTTATTTGCTGATGCTGCAGGAGTTTGTAGCAGTTTTTTAGTTTTTAGTTCAGTTTCTTTTTAACTACCATCCTGAGCAGAAGTAAAAAAAAATTGGAAAATCACTTATCTGGATTGTTGATTTTTGAGTAGTCAAATTGGAAACTGGTGACTTAGAAAACTTGTTGCATCCCCTTAGAGGTGGTCCTATGTCTTTGGGTTTCTCGGAATGTAGCAGTGGACAAGTTTACTGAAAATAACACTGCAAGCTTGGAAAAGAACCATATTACTTTTGGAAGAAGAATCTCATTGATCAATTCAATGCTATCTTGCTATCTCTGGTTCCAGTATAAGGTTGTTAAAAGACATGTGCTTGGATGATGAGTTAATTCCTATGCATCATATTCCCAAGCCTTCCATCTATCATTTCAAGCCATATCTGGACCATTACTTTTACTTTTGACTCTAGTGTTTCTCGAGATTTTGTGTATAGACCACCATTATCAACTGAGGGTGGGCCTTGGCACAACAGTTGGGTTGGTCCATTGTGACCTGGGTGACCCGGATTCAAATCTTGGAAACAGCCTCTCTTTACGTGCCAGGGGTAAGGTTGCGTACATCTGTCCCTCCCCAGACCCCACATTGGTGGGAGCCTCGTGCACTGGGATGCCTTTTTATACCAACATTTTTTTGATGGGAAAACAGTAACTTTCATTAATTCTTTAAAAAGCTTAGTACAAACTGTCACCTTCAAAAACAAGGTGACCCCTCATCAAAATTACAAACACCCCTCATCAAAATTACAAACTCCTTGCTTTGCTAAAGCATCAGCCATTGCATTGGCTGATCTCCTAGTCCATTTATAACAGACTTCAAGCTCCCTTGTTAGTTGCATAATCTCCCTTACAGGTTGTCTAAGGGACCAGGCACCTAAGCTGTTTATTGCATCCAACCTATTACTAGTTTCGAATCTCCCTCCACTTCAAACTGCTGAAAACCCAGCTGTTTAGCTGATTTGAGCCCCTGTAGGAGTGCCGGAACTTCTGCTCTAAGAGAGTCCCCCAAGCCTATGGAGCCAGAAAAAAGGGCCAGGACTTTTCCTCCCCCATCTCTAAAGACACCCCCAATTCCAGAGGGGCCTGGATTACCTACAGAGCTGCCATCAAAGTTTAGCTTAACAGCCATAGCTAAAAGGGGATTGGGGGGAGGGGGGGAACCAAACCTCTTGAATAGCTAAAGAGGGGCAAGAAGAAGCTGCTATTGTACTCTGCTTTCTAACCAAAGCATCTACAGAGAAATCCTTGAACAGGTCCAGCGATTTCAGCCAGTGTATAACCTTGATGGTGATCCCTTCTATGACTTCATGTGCTGATTTTTCTTTCCCTTGAAAGATTGTGTTATTTCTCTTGTCCCAGATTGCCCAAACAATTGCTGCCCTCATTGTTCTCCACATTACCCTTCCTCTTTTCTTTGGTTGATGAAAAAAGCTAGATTCAAGCAAAGGCTACAAACATGAGGGTATAAACACCAATTTGGTCTTTTTCTCTGAAGCCAATCCAAAGTGTTGATTTTTTGGAGAACCACTTCCCAACATTATCAATTCTTTCTAAACCCACAACCACCATTATCAAGATGGCTTTGTTGTCAAGCTCTCTTCTGCAAGGCAACTGGTGAATTGTGAGCACTTTGGTTGTCCACTGTGCTTGGATCACTAGGATATAGAATCACTTAAAAGTTTCGTTGTGTCCAGGGAGTGCCTTCTAAATGATATCCTGGGTTATTTGTGAGGGTTGAAAAATGTCTCCCACTGGGAGAGGCAGGATCATGGAAAGATAGAGCTGACATTCTGAAGTATTTGGGAGAGGAGAAGAATGCCAGAATCTTTGCCAAAAGGGCTGCAATATTAGATTTTATTATCATAGATAAGTCACAAACAGGTTGGCTCATATAATCTTGATCAGTTGATCCTCTTACAAAAATTTAGTTTGGAGACGTCTTTGTTGATTATGTGATTGGAAGATGGCAGGTTGTCTCCAGTGCACCAATACATGGGCACCAGGGTATCTAGGATTCCATTCCTCCAGGATGGTGATCCACTGAGCTCAACTTTGTTGGCTGTTTTCTGGGGAGCCTGGGTCTCTCTGAAGTGGATAGGTCCTTCAGACTTGAGAGATCATGGTATAGCTGGGCCTGATTGGAGAAGGTACTTAAAGTAATGCTTGGTTTCCAGTTCACCATACTTAAGTAATGGCTGGCCAAGAGAACCTTTTTATGGGAGATTATGTTCCATGTTAATGCTTGGTTTCCAGTTTACCCCATGGTGTCCTTTCTGCCACTCTTCTTGGAGTTTGCACATACTTGCACAGTTGCACACTTATTTGTTAATATGTTTGTGCACATCCTGATGTCATTGTTAGTAAAAGGAGGTGTGTTGGTTTTTGTCAGCTAAGAATCATTTAATTTGATGCCAGTGATAGAGAATAATAATCTAGTATTTAAATGCATGGTTTGCAAGGGCTGCTTTGGTACCTTTTCTTTGATTGTCTTTGAAAACTTCATAAAAGGAGGGTTTAAACTTAACAATTCAAAAACTAGTTCGTGCAACCTTAATTCCAACAGTCCAATTGCCTGTGGTTCTAGTCATATGCATAATGATGATGGTGGAATGGGATGGAATATAATCCTCTGACTGAAAATTGGCTTTTCATACATTGTCTGCTTGGTATGGAGGTTCAATTGTCCTTCCCATCTGCTCATTGGATAGAAATGCTACCTGTCTGTATGCCAATGAAGGCTTATTAAGAAATTTGTTATGCTGTTGACCTGCTGTTTGATGTTTTGAGGAATTCTGCTGCTATAACTTTTGAAGTCAAAACACCAGAATATGCATGAAATTATGTCTTCACACTTGAAGCATACGTTTGGGGGTGGTATATATAAGATTGAATGCTACACAGGGCTACACGTAGATAATAGATATGGTTTTGTGGTGTGTGTGTGTGTGTGTTATCATTTAACAGTTTCTTCTTGGGTTTTCAGGTTACTGTAGAACATTGTCCTAGTGAGGTATTCATACATGTCTCTGCTGCCAAATGCTGGGAGCTGGTAAGAGAGAGAGTGAATCAAGAGATAAGAAAACAACATAGTTTGGGGAAAGCGAAACTTCCTCCGTTGCAGCCTCCTGGCAGCCTTGATGGCCTTGAGATGTTTGGGTTCTCATCTCCGGAAATCATTCAGGTACATGTACTAAAAGAATTTCTCGTACCCACAGCAAGGTGGTGGTGGKTGGGGGGGGGGGGTTCTTTCTGAGTTGTGAGATGACTGACACTGACCTTGTTGTCTATGTTTTCTAGCGTCAAGTGTAGAATTTGGGTGGTCACTGCAAAAAATGCCGAAGGTTAGGACTGTACCCAGTTTACCCTTTCCCAAGACCCCAGATAGCTGGGACCAACATTGTTTTTGATCAGTATAGCTGGGACCAACATTGGGTATTGGCCTTTTTGATGGTAAACATTATATTAGAATATTTAAAATAAGATGTACAATCCTGTGCCAACCACCCCTTGAAGGTAGCTAGCCTCGGCTAGCCTCATCAATATCTTGCTTATGATTAGAAGTTCCCATCCTGTGGGATTGATCCCCAATAGATATGACTTCTAAGCTCTAACTGTCCCTTGTTTTGCAAGCCCATGAGCAACCTCATCTGATCTTGGCGTACATCTATATAAACTGCACAAAATTCAAGTACTATCTTTGTAATTTCCCTTAAAATGTATCTATACTTCTATGATCCATCTGTAGTTTTCCTCAACCAGCTTACAATTATATGTGAATCCCCTTAGACCAAAACATCCCTGTAGTGCAGTGATTTAACCAGCCATAATCTGTGTAGGAGGACCTATATCTCCATCCTAGTGGAGTCACCATAACCTGGTCCAGATCATAGAGTTAGTATGTTTCCTTCCCAATCCCTGAGAACACCAACTCCAGAAATTCCTGGGCTCTCTAAACTGCAGCTATTGGGATTGGGTAAATCCAATGTGATAACTGAATATTCTTTAATGAAGGTGAATCGACCACTTGTTGCCAATTCCTCAAGATGTCATTGATTATGTTTTCTGACAGATAAGAGAAATTTTATTACTGAAAAACAGAATATGATACAAAGATGTGGTTAGCCTTGGCTAACCCACTCATGATACAAACAGAATCTTGGCTAACCATCCAAGATTTTGAGATTACAATTAAACTCCCTTTACTTGACCACTCCCCAATACAGATGCTCTCTGCCCATCCAAAACTTTGAGGTTACTCAATCACATAGCAATACTAATTCATTTGCTGATATAGGTATCCTATTTATAGAAGCTCCCAACTCTTGAATTAGATGCTGCAATTCTCTTATGATATGGCTATATTTCCATGGCCCAGTCTTATTACCCTTAACCCAACCAGTTACTATCTGTTCTTTCACCTTCAACAATAAAATTCCTGAAACTTAACAGTTTGGCTCTAGTAAAGCCTTGGAGTGCTGCACAAATTTTGGCCATGGTAGAGTCTCCTATCTCTGTAGGTCCTGAATATAGTGCCAAAATATTTCCTTCTTCATTTCTGAAAACACCACCAATCCCTAATTGACTGGGAATTGGGATTCCAAATGCTGCAGCCATCAAAGTTTAGTTTTATGAGATTGGGATGAGGAGAGGTCCAAATGGCCTTGGTCAAAACTTTACCAGCTGAAGAATCTTTCGCTTGCTTCCAATTTCTTGTAATGTCATCCACCATGAATAATGAGAATAGCTCTAAAGTCTTAACTCAATGTATCACTTTGAAAGTTACGTTTTCTATTATCTCCTTTGCTAGTCTTTCCTTATTGAATAATGTTGCATTTCTTTCTTCCCATAGGCACCAAAGAATTGCAGCTCTTGTGCATCTCCAAAGGATTTCCTCCCTCTTCTTGGGGGCTGAGTAGGAATCAAGAAACAAACTCTTCAGGTCCAAAGGGAGGATTCCACTTTCCACCAAACAGAGGAAAAAAATTCCAAATAATAGATGCAAAGTTATAGGAGATTAGCAAGTGGAAAGAGTTCTCACCACTTGCTCTGCAGAAAAGACAAATGTAGAGGGTGGATAGGTACCAAAAAGGTTTTTACTTTGCAGGTTCTAGAACGAGCAAATTTTGTTATGAAAGACCTCCCAAAAAAGCTTTAATTTTGGGTGGGACTGGACCTCTCCATATGCCCTTCATAGGGAAAAAAGGAAGGGGTTGAGGGCATAGTTGTCAAGGCATCGCCTGGGCGACTTGGTGCCCTTGGTTGGGAGCCTCACCCAAATGCCTTGACTTGTAACAATTATGTGCCTTAATTATAATATCATTTATATTGCTGCATCTTATTAATATGTGCATTAATACATTCTATTATATACTGTATATATCATTTGTACTTTGTTATTTTACTATTGAAATTTAAAAGACCAAAGGGTTTTGAGGAGAGAAAATGAAAAAAAAAGAATGAATAGAAGTATAGAGAAGTTTATTTATTTTTTTCTATTTTCTCTCCCCCTCTAATCAATTAAATAAAATATCTATTTCACTTTCCATCTTGGGTTATAACCTTCTTTAGTGCTAATTGATATGAAATTGCTCCATTAAATACTTTTTATAGTAGTATTATTTTTGAAAACAATGAAGTTAATATATTTAAAAGATTTTTATCTTTTAGATATGATGATCTGCCAAATTTTGAGAGGAAATTTAATGTTCTTAACTTGCTATTTTTTTCAACATGCATGCTGAATAGTATATAAAACTGGGGAGCTAGCCAAAAGTTAGTTCTTTATATTATAAAATTTTTATCACCTAGGCATCACCTAGGTGCCCCAGTGTCGCCCAGAAACACCTAGACTCCTTGACGACGATGGTTGAAGATCTCATCCTAAGGTAGAAAAAAAGGAAGAACAAGAGAAAGAGTCAGAGGCAGAACGGGTCTAGATTCTGGAGTCAGAGAGTTGGGCTCAATAAAAATTGCTGTTTAAAAGGTGAAGAAGAGTTACAGTATCCGAAGTTTCACAATCCCTAATCCTTCGACGAAGCCCTAGGTTCCAGTTTAGACCAAGATCGGACACTAGTGCAATTGGACACCAAACAATCTTTGTTAGAGGAGAGAAAATATTAGGAATGTACCACTCAAGATGTCATCCATTGTAAAGGGTGCAAAAACATCTATCATGTCATCCCAGTGAACCACCTTAATCATGACATTTGCTATGATACTTAAAAGAGTCTAGCTTTTCTTTCTACCCAAATCTACCATAATATGCTGCTTTCGTGCATCTTTTGAGATATTTGTTTCTCTTCTTTCGTGGGGAGAAAAATGATGGGCTTCCAATGTTTACCAAGTGATTTCACTTGCATTCAATAAAAGAGAAGGAAAATTCCCAAATACAAGATGCAAAATGATAGGAGATTAACAGATGGGAAGTGTTTTCACCATTGTCCATGATAACCTTTTTTTTTGATGGTTAGCAGTAGCAAACCCTGTTTCAAGTCAGCAATTTGGGTGTAACAAGTAGATCATCATCATCAACTATATGGCATTGGCTACATAAATCCTGTTTCACAATTCCGATCTGTTAAATGCCATATTCATTGTCAAATTTTGAGCGCTTACTACAATCCAAATCCTTTTTTGTCTGCCCCTAGCCCCTTCAACTTGTAATGGTTTGCTTCTTACGGGTTCCGTAGAATGGTCTTCTAGCATATGGCTATGCCATCTGTCTACTTTCTTTCATTTTATTGCCTATTGGAGCTACTCTTGGTTCCTTTGAATGACTTCATATCTGACCCTATTCTTTCTACCACGTTCATTTTTGGGACTTGTTTCTTCACTGTCCAAAACTCTGCTCTTTACAGCATAGCTTGCCTTTTGTTTCATCAAAATTTCCTTTTAATTTAAGTGGTATTCGCCTATTACATAAGACTTTGGATGCATCCATCCAGTTTGCAAATCCTTCTCTAATTCTCTGAGTGACATCCTGCTTGATTTTCCCCTTGTTATGAATTGTTCACCCTGAATTGCAGTCCTATTATTAAAGCATTTTTTTTGGGTTCACCTTACATCTTTCCTTGGGTATTTTTATGTGGGAGTTCCAAGTAACTTTAGGTAGTAAGGTATGAAAGGACATAAAAAGAACCATTTTTTCAACCATCTTTGATTTGACAACCATACATCTATCTCAGTTCTCCTGATTTAAGACGCCATCATTTCTATAAATCTTTTTTTTCTATTTTTTTTAATGTTGAAAGCCTTTTTTTATCTTCTTAATGCTTTTCTTTTTGTTAATTCCACAGTACTTTGGTGTACATGGGAGCTTATGCAATCATTTTATGAATGTGTATGCATGAGTACAATGCTTTCTTGATAAAAGAGCTCTATCAACTAGTTTTTCAATAGGCTACTTTATTTTAGTTCTAATATCAACGTTTGATTCTTTTATATTAAATTGATTTAATGCTTACCAATTATTGGCAACTAGAGAAGCATGTTTCCTTGTCGCCTAGCCTTGATTTAGTGTCTTGTAAAACTGTGACGAGTGTATGCCTGTATGATTAAATTTTCTCAATGGATGCCAACAAATTGATTCATTATTTATTTAACAGGGCATAGAAGCAAGGGACCCAAATCGGGTTTGCATGGAGTACTGGAAATTCAGGTCCCAAAATCAGATCCTACCACATTGTCAACCTGGAAATGTAGTAGATCACAAACCGAGGATCAAGGAGGATTTTAGTGATCAAGAAGCTGTTGCAGGCACTGGAAACCTACCTTCAGTCGGAGTTGATACAGTACTCAGAGGCCTCTTCAAGAAGGCAAACCCAGAAGAACTATATTCATTGTACAGCATACTGAGTGACAACACTAAACCAATAGCTGATCAAAGACTTGTGACTCAGCTTCTCAACGAAGAGATACAGAAACGCCCAAGATAATTTTTTGACCGGTCTCACAAAAGATTGAGACCGGACTTATTGATGCAATTTTAGCTTTTCTGATGCTGAATTGGGATTGTAGAAGCATTGTGATCTTCCCATCCAATGTAAAATTTTCCATGAATTTGGTACAGTATGGATGCATCAGCAAAGAAGCTGAAAATTCTTGGCGTGCCCATCCTCTGGCAAAATGATCCTGTGGCTGACCTTTCTTTTTTTTTTTCCAATATGGTCTCAAATCATTCTTGGTCATTTTAGCAATGACGCTGCTGCTATATATACCACATTTTTTCCTAGATAATGAATTAATTGTATTAACAAATTGTAATATGATCATTTTTGATAGTTAAAAGGAAAAAAGTTTGTCTAATGCACAGAGGTCTATTCTTCCATTTTTTGGTTCCTATTTTAGTCCTTTTGAGATTAACTGATGCTTGTGTGGTGGTTGACAGACATTGGACCGTCCTTGTTGGGTGTTGCAAACCTGTTTTCTTTCCTTTTGGATGTCGGTCACCCAACATATGCTTGTTGGGCTGATCCTTTTTTACTTTTTTTTTTTTTTAAATTCAATATGGTTTAAGAAAAAATGCCCAGAACTGTCGTCGTATCTTAATCTATTGGGTAAATTGTTGAAACCTCTCTTGAAGTTTTTGACCATTGCTCAAATCTTCTCTGAAGTTTAATAATTGCAATTACCTCCCCTGAATTTTTAGATATAGTTGTAAGTATATCCCTTTAGATAGCATGTTCTAAACAGGGCATGAAAATGCCTAAAATACTCATGCAATTACTATTAAGGCTGATTTCTATAAAAAAAATACAAACTTTATGAACAATAAAAACAAAGAGAATTTAAAGTTGCAGCCCTTTGAGTTATTGATTTTATGGACAAATTTGAAAAATAAATCAATTTTACATAAGAGATTGGAAGGGTTTGGGGTAGTGATTCATATGAAGAGAAAATTTAGAAAATAAACATTTTTATCAAAAGCAATTGCATATTTGTATGGGTATTTTGACATTTTAATACCTCTTTTTAGAAAATTCTACTAGAGGGGGCCTATTTGTAACTATGTCAGAAATTACACGGGATGGAATTGCAATTAACAAACTTTAGGGGAGGTTTTGAAAATACATTATATCTACGACAATGGTAGAAAATCCAAAAACTTAAGAGGCAACCATGTGCAACTAATAAATTTTAATTAATAAAAAATAACCTACATTATGTTTATCTTATTGTATGTAAATTATCAAACAATTTAGAAAAATTCAATATTTTTATTTAACTTTTTGATTGCCTCTTAGAAAAACTTAAGAGGCAATCATGTGCAACTAATAAATTTTAATTAATAAAAAATAACCTACATTATGTTATCTTATTGTATGTAAATTATCAAACAATCTAGAAAAATTCAATATTTTTGTATAACTTATTGATGGATCCATGTATTTTATAGGCCATCTATAGATCCATTGTATGGTTGTTTCTTAGTTCTTACTATCAAGATTACACAACACGATGGAAAAGAAAATAGATCTTTTTAATTTTTATATTTTCACAATTCTTTAATGCCCCGTTCGCTTTTCGATAAGTTATTTACCCGGGTAAATGTGTGTATTTACCTATATTCTTTTATTTCTCAAGTAAAAAAGAAAATGGCCATGAGGGAGAGGAGTCAAGATTTCCATAAAGAATTTTAGCATCTTCGAGCAAAATTAAGCTGATCAACGAATGCTTATTTACTGCATTCTTATGGTAATGTCATCAATACTGCTCAAAGATTTCCATCAAGAATGTTGCTTTTCTCATCCCTTGAATTGAGGTCTTAGCTGAAATAGCAAGATCTTTCTGCTGGAATAACGATAGCATCTTGGAGCATAATTTGCAACTTGAGCACATCAGGGGCTGTGCAACGTGAAGGGCCATTATTCAATTTTGGTCATAGCTATCTGGACCAGGGGCTGTACAACCTGATTTTACTTCATTTTAATCTACCATGGAAGTATTCTTTTATTATTTCAGCAGCAGGAATTCAGGGGGAGGATTATAAGTTGTTAATGAATCTGCATGTTTTGATAAGCACATTGGAATGGTTCAGAGACTTGACAAAATGATGAATAGGTTTAGATAACTTTCACATTTCTTGAATACTGAACACTAAGAACAGAAGATCCCAACATTAAAAGGCACAAAGAATCATAACATGGACGGAAAACAACACAATACACTGATTCACAGGCCTGCTGACACCAATCCATGTAATGTGACAATACCAATCATAGTGTTTTGATGGTCAATGACAGGTAGGAATTGCACAGGTGATGGTGGGGACTCCATCTTCTGCATGGCTTCCACCGCCATTGCATCAGGACCAATTGTTCTTGGGTTCCTGGAAAACAAAAGGGGTTTCAGTAAATATTTCATATTTGCATCAGTCCGGGGAACACAAGACCTTTTAATAAAGTGAGATATGACCCAGCTTTTTCCTTTTTACCTGTTGCACATCTCTCCCACGGTGAGCTTGAAGATACCCTCTTTACTCGCCTTGAGGGTTCGCCTCAGATCACCATCAGTAAAAGTCCCAATAAGATGGTAGCACTCATCAACAACAAGTAGACATCCACATCCCTTACTTGTGAGTTCTACTAGTTGATCCATGATCAAATCTTCTTCCCTGCACACTGGAAGCTCCTCTTTCTTTTTCATAACATCCTTTACCTGCATCCCAAATGATAAGTCACGTCAAATTATATCTTCAGACAGAGAAGGGAAACCATATCAATAGATGAATAAGAACTTCCCCTCCTCTGCATCTGGTTCCAGCCAGAGGGAAAGGAGCTAAACTGAGTTGAATCCCTTAAAATGCACAACTTAATTCTGCCAAAAATAATAGATTGCTCAATATTCATAACAGAAACCCATTGAGAAAAAAACAAATTCCCATTGACTCTCATTGTTGAGATTAATAAATATGACCCAGATCAGAAAATTGAGCAGATAAAAAAAAGCAAAAAATTCACTTAATAACTGGTTCATGGCTAAAAGCATTATTTCAACTGCCCTTAAATGATCATGCCACTCGTAAATCACTATTAAATGAAAAGGACCCAGATCTTTAACTACCAACTGTGACTGAATTACAACAGCATCCACACCTAATAACAAAAAGGTACCCCAGACAACCTTCAGTTCATAATTCAACTAACTATTCACTGCCAACATCTAAAATACCATAAAAGACGAATTTTAATTCCTTCCTCGATCCAAAAATAATTATCTATTGAGAATACAAAACATCCAAACCACCAAGAAAGGAACCATTGTTTTGTTTTGAGAAATAAAAGCAAAGAAGTCCAGATCTGAAATCTATGCAAGGATCAAAAAACAGCCAACGATTAACTAAAAAGCAATCCAATCTGATACCTACCTTGTGAGTAACGATCCATATAAAGAAAAGGGATTACAATAAATTCCACATAAAACATCAAACTAACTGATCGTGAAACCAAATTATGAAACTAAACATTATCCAGATCTGTGTTCACAAACAAAAAGTAAAAGCGATGCAAACCAATAGACTATCTAACTCAAATTAGATCAAACCATTCTCACCTTAAAAATAAGGCTCTTCCCAATCCTCCCAGCGGGATGATTCGCTGCGTACTCATCCCTTGTCAGATTCTTCGCACCCATTAGAGCAATCGCCACCGTATCTCCAAAAACCATCTGAATTGCCGTTGAAGTCACCGGCGCTAGATCGAAAGGGCATAATTCTCTCTCCAAAGGCAAATGTACATTCATATCACAAACACTCGTCAGCAAATTCCCCTCCAACGACGTGACGGAGATCAAGAACGCCCCTTTCGCCTTGGCACAGGGCACCAATCTGAGTAGCTCCTCGGTGTTCCCAGACTTGCTAAAGAAAATAAGAAGATCATATTGGGACAGAATGCCGATATCGCCATGGAGAGCATCGACGGGAGACAAGAAACCCGATTTGATGCCGAGAGAAACCAGGGTCTGAGAGATCTTTTGGGCGACGAAGCCAGATTTTCCAACACCGGTGAAGAAGATTGTACCTTTGGCATTCAACAGGGTCTGGGTGAATGTCAGGGTCTGAGAGAGATCGAGGTTCTGAAAGAAGAAATTAAGATATTTCTGCTGTGATTTGAAGAGATTGAGAAGTTCGTTAGGGTTAATTTGTGTCTGTGTTTCTTTAGGGGGTGAGAAGATGTCCGGAGATGGCGGGAGAGATCCCATTTTCGCTCCCCTGGGCTCAAAGGTATGTCGGTGTTCTTTGAATAACGACGATTCTGTGATAAAACAATTACTAAATTCTCGTATTATACCCGTATAGTATGCGAATTCACAGCGAACTTTATAGATATACGGTAAAATACGCGATTTTATCATTTATTCATACACCACGTGTACGTCTAATATTGAAGATTTGAAGTGAAGTTCTTTCAGAAATACGAAGCGAAACAAGGTCAGTCAGTGTGACACAGTGACATGCGCAGCGCGCGCGTCCTCTCTCTTTCTCACAGTATTTTCAACGAACACCTCGAGAGAAAACAGAAGAACCCAGGAAAAACATCTTATAGCGGATCATGGGATGAGCAACTAGGTAGATAACTACACCCTCTCTCTCTCTCTCTCACACACACACACACACGCAATATTTTCAACGACCACCTTGAGGGAAAACAGATAAGTAGAGGAGGATCTTTATTCTTTAACAAAAGGCATAGTAGTGAAGCGCGTACGCCCTCTCTCTCACAGTACTTTCAACGAACACCTTGTAGGAAAACAGAAAACGGGAAACAGCAACGGAGAGCTCCACCAAACATCGTAGCAGATCATGGAAGAAACAAAGGAGATGAGTAGAGGTCAGCCGTGAACAAAATGGGCAACTTCTCTTCCGGCTCTGGGCTCTGGTGTGTGTGAGAGAGAGAGAGAGAGAGATTGGGGGGAGGGTTTCAACTTTCAAGTTCAACTATTAATGGATGAATTAATCGTGAAAAAGATGGGCTAGAGAAATTCCATCTGGGCGGTCTTACAACTTTAACACGTTGCCGTTGGCTACCCAAAGCTTTGCGTATTTTCCATCTCATGTTCGGGTTTTACACGTAGGCGGGCCCACTTGATGATGCGGATCTCATATGAGGGGAGACGCTTTTGACGTCTGATCAGATCTAGATACTCCACTTGTCCCCCACATTGTTTTTGGCATGAAGTCCACGTGCCCACTTCATCCAAGAGATGCTGCTTCTTTCCCTCGCGAATCACGATGGGCTGATTGGCTGAACATTCAGCTAAGCAACGCTCCACATAATTAGCTATTTAAAGGGCTGAATCAGATATCCCTTCAAATGGCTGATTTGGGCTCTCCAAACTTTTCATGGGGCCCACCTTGGCAAGCCAAAATCCGATTGTGCTTTGCTCTCCAACATTCAGATGAGAGATACTTCAGCTGCTTAGATGTGCTTTGGATAAGCTATCTAAGGGAATGCTTGGAAGCGCGGACGTTTTTCTGAAAAACAGTGCTACGTCAGATCCTCGTAGGCGATTCAACAAACACCCACATACATGATTGTTTGGTTCAAGTGTTTCTTGAAAAAAACGCTGAAAAACAGGCATGCCTCATAAATTAGTTCCCAACCATTGCATGAAACATCAAATTTGGCGTTTCACGATTGTTGCCCCCAACGGTTGACTGATATGGTGAATACGTGTATCCTATGTGGTGCTTACCTATCAGATGAGTTGTCACTAGTGGGAATGTTCTTGTGCTTCTTGGCCTACTGGAACATTCTAACCCAACGAGTGGTAGGGTTTTACCTCTACTCATTTTCTTCTTGCCGCCGGAAGTTTTCTCTCCTCTGACGATTGATGCTCTGTAACCTCTACTCGTTTTTTTCGTCACTGTCGTTGTTGGAAGAGATTGGTCGTCACTGCAGGAGATTGGATATGATGCCATTATTCATGCTGATGTTATTGATCTAATCCAACAACATTTTCAACCGTTGGATTTAAAATTTTAGGCCACTTATTATAAAACAATCATCCAATTAATCTAGACCATTTGATAAGCATCGTTATATAATGTGGTATGATATTAGTGTGCACCATCTTATGGAGTAACGTGTACACATACATGAAAAATAATAATGAAAATCACCTTACCAAATAGCATAAGTGTTGCTCACTGCCTACGTGGCAGAAATACTCCCAAACATATCAAGGCGTTTTTTTTTTTTTGTGAAAAAGGCTCTATCAAGCATGGGCATTTTTTTTTTTTGAAAATCCATCTCAATAAATGCCCACACTTCCAAACACCATCTAAAACAAGCTGAAGTGGATAACCCAAAAAATGACTCACTGAGCTGATTTGGGTGATGTTTGGCATCTCACCGATGTTTCAAAAGCCAATGATTTTTGAAATCAGTGTTTTTTCTTTTTCAAAAAATCAGTAAATTTTGTTATTTGGTATCATTTCTGCCGTGTAAGTCTATTTGGTACTGATTCTTAAGGGTCAATTCCTACCATGTTGGATGCCATATCATCCTAAAAAAAAAAAAAAAAACAGGAATCAGCTAGAAATCAGGAAATCACCAAAAAAACGTGATCCCAACAAGGCTTATTTCAAGAATCTATCTTTTGCCAATTTCTTAAAAATCACTAAAATCAGCCAGCCAAACAGAAATTTCAATGCCGATCCCTTTAATGTTGGCATGGCTGAAGAAATCATCATCAATGCCAAACATAACCTTGAGCTCTCCAGATTTTTCACCAAACATAGCTTAGTGGCTGTCCATGTAGGTCTCACCTTGGAAAGCTAGAAACCATTGCACTTCAACCATTACAAAAGGGACATTTACTTGACTGCAATGTACAGCTGAAAACTGATCCAATCGAATTAAGGGTGATTCAAATTCAATTAATTTATAATTCGACAAAAATATGAATGAGCTCCAACCGGCAAAGACACTACCCATACACCCTAGCCACAAGACACTACAACTTTACATTGGGTTCATCTCTAAAATTGTATGTTATCATTCATGGAGAGATCTTCTCAACGTACAGTTGTAGTATCTAGCGGGTAACATTTTGTGAGTAGAAGATCCAGAGTAAGGGTGATCATGGACTGAGCCATGCCGGGCTTAGCACATGTGATAAAAATTCTAGGCTGAGCCAAAGCCCAACCCTAAAAGCCATGAGGCTCGAGCTTGGTTCGATTTGTTTCCACCCCTAGTAAATGTATATGCGGGTTGGGCCTACACAGTGCTAGGTTGGGCTGAAAATGATTACCTCTTATCTAGAGTGAATATGAGTTGGTCTCTATTTGATATCTGAAGGGTATTCTCACTTTTGGGCATCTTCTTCAACCTGGCCCACTACAGTTGTCAGCCTTCTACGATGCTGATTGGGCTGGCTGTCCCATTGACAGGTGTTCTCCCAATGGATATGTGGTTTTCCTCACAAATGATAGTGGTTCGTTCTTCTGCTGAGGCCGAATATTAATATTAATCCCTTGGTTACACCACAGTTGAGTTATATTGGCTTTGTTCTTTGTTTTAGAGCTTCATGTTCCTATCAATGCTCCCCTTGTCATCATTTGGTGCAACAATGTTTCAACAATTTCCATGACATCCAATCTTGTATTCTATGCCCGCTCCAAATACATAGAAGTTGACTTCCATTTCGTTCCTGAGAAAGTGATATGCAACCAACTTACTATTGATCAGTACATTTCCCCAATGACCAACTTGTTGATATCTTCACTAAGGGCCTACCCTCTTCTTGTCTCTAGCTACCTGTTGGTTAGCAAGCTGAATGTGTCTTCCCCCCCACTCAACTCGAGGTGGGGGAGAATAGCATTGACCTTTTTGCAAGTTTTCACCCACCGCTCCCATGGCTCTCATCTCTGATCTCTACCATCCTTCTTCCTTTAGGCTCAGTTTGAAAAGAGTACAAATGCAAATATGTACAGCATAAATACATACAAAATAATACAAAATATAAGATTTTGCACTCTACACATTTGCATTTGTGTTCCTTCCAAACTCAGCCTTATTGTTCATTGGGTTATATGTACAAATAATTTACCTGTATGCTCAAATAAAACCTTGGGATTTTGTTTATTTTGTCCTCTTGGGAAGAGCCATAAACTTTTTTTCTTTTTTTTTTTCGAAACTCAGTCTTGTTCAGTTATTTTATTTGTTGATTGTTATAGTCGCTTTGTGGATTTATCCTTTAATTCACAAGTAATCAAATGCCTTGTCTACATTTAATTTGTTGAATTCAATGTCATCTTCATATAAGAGGGTTGTACTGTAAAAGTCCTTAGTTGACAATTATATTGTTAGCATCTAATAGATAGTTCAGTACTACTGCTTTATATATGGAGGATATCAGAGGGAATTATTTGGATATTGCCAAAGATTTTTCTTATTTTTTGTCTCCCATATATATATATTATCAGACAAAATTTACCCGGCCAGTCGTTCTTCCAAAATGAGATGTGGGGGTTTTGGTGTCAATTTTTCTAGGTTGATGCTGATTTGGGCTTCACACCAAATAGCCTGAGTAGAGGGGCATTTAAAAAACAAATGGTAGAAAGTTTCGATTTGCTGCTTGCATAGGTAGCATAATGTGTTTAGCATAAAGTGGAGAAAGTTTTATAATTGATTGGCTATGGCATACCACTGCCTATTGTTGGTGCTCAAGGATCATCAAAAGCTAGCTAAAATGGATGAACCATCCTTGTGAAGCCATAAGACATTAATTTAGACTTTAAATCAGTAAGCAAACCATATGTTATCTTTCACCATTGGGTGCTTCAATGGCTCTTCTTAGCAAAGAAAGGATTTGTCTCTGGAAAATATTTTTCATAGATGGTTTTATTCTATAATCTGTATTGGTGAGTGAATAACTATCAATTTTTTTTTTTATTTTACAAAACATGGCTATGTGAAAAAGATTGCCACTAGAGAAGTTCCTTGTCGATTTATCCAACTGAGAATGAAACTCATTAGGGTGGATTTTAGATGCCCTAGAATAAATTGGAATTGATTGTAAGAGCAACTTTGACTCCAATAGTTGATTTGAGAGTGGATTAATTCCATCTAACATCTCTTTATGAGAAAGCTGATTTCTAAGATTAATCCCCACTTTGGGTTCCAAGTATTTGGTGCCCATCAATGACTTATTTTGAGAAGATGAGAAAAGAACTTTTGATGATGCCGAGGCACTTTTCTGTTAAACATTAAGCTGAATTTCCCATATATAGTTAATCCTTTATCATGAGAAGATTCAAAAGTATGCAATATTATACATGATAGAGGGCATTAATCTGTTAAATTAAGGTCAGCCTTGCAAAAAAGTATGCAACCATCCACAAGTAAAAGATGATGAGTTAGACAAGTGCCATTGCAACATAATTTGATACCTTCATAGTTGTGTAAGGATTTCTATATATACCAATGATAAATAGATATCGAGACAAGGGGTTTACTTGGCTTTTGAGTTGAAAGTGACCATGTGCTTCTCCACCATGCTTGATGGAAAAGGAAGGTGTGAAAATGCATTGATGTAAGCTTACATCATTTCCTAGGGAAATTCATTTTGTTAAGAGTTTGTCAAAAGGAAATGCCAATCCATTGTGTCTAAGTTTAATGGCCACATATTCTTTTCCTTTTTTGTTTCTAGGTCCTCATAATATCTCTATATATATATATATATAATATTACTCCCTTACTAAAAGAATATTATCTGTGATTTACTTGTATTTTAAGAAGCCAGATTAAAAAGGAAAAATGATTTCCTATAGGATTGGTTATGGGCATAAGACTAGTAACCTAGAGGTAGACCTGTTCATGGGCCGGGTAGTTCGATGGTCCAGCCCGCACTCCGGTCGGGCTTGGTCATGTAATTAGGCCCGCGGGCCTGATCTTGGGCCTAACACAGTAAGCCTGATCGTGTTATGGGCTGGACTCGGGATTTGTCAAAAAAACCCGGCCCGACTCAGCATTATATATTTTATAAAATACATAATATGTATTTTATATATAAATAATATAATATTTATTGAAATA